GGCCCAGGCCCACGATCGCGCCCACGCCCACGCCCACGCCTACGCCAGCGCCCGCGCCCGCGCCCGTGCCGCGCCCGCGCCCGCGCATTCGCCCGCGCTCACGCCCGCGCTCGCGCTCACGCCCACGCCCACGCCCTCACGATCACGCCCACGCCCACGCCCACGCCCGCGCCCACGCCCACGCGCCCACGCCCTCACGATCACGCCCAAGCCCACGCCCGCGCCCCCGCCCACACCCACTCCCACCCCCACACCCACACACGCACCCGCACCAAAGCCCACGCCCACGCCCACGCCCACATCCACACCCAGACCCACATTTGGCGGGGTCGCCATGAAAAAAAGGGTCTTGAAGGAAAGAGGTCCTGGACTTTTGCGTGCCCGTTTTCTGGCCTTTCAGTGTCGTCCCCGGGCCCCCAGCCGCGAGCCTCTGGCCCGCGCCCCTCAGGACTCGTTCGCGGCGACGCGACAAGGGACCACGACCTCTCGGGCCGTGACTAGATCATAACGGACGGTCTTCGAGCTTCCTCTTAGACGAAGGCAGGATGAGGACACAGCCGAGTGAGGGTATATACATCGGGGATATCTGGGAGCCAGCGGGTCCAGAGGATGTATAATAGGGCGTCGCCGCCGCACCCAGCGAGCTCCGCAAGGCCCTGAGAGCGTGCATGACGCTCAGCAAGCATCCCACCCCGCCCCTCCTTTTCCTCCTCTTCCTCCTCCTCCTCCTCCTCATCCTCCTCATCCTCCTCCTCCTCCTCCTGCTGCTCCTCTTCCTCCTCTTCCTCCTCCTCCTCCTCCTCCTCCTCCTCCTCCTCCCCCTCCTCCTCCTCCTCCTCCTCCCTCATACCAGTCCTCCCCCCTCCCACTCCCACTCCCGCCCTCATTTACAGCCCTGGTATGGGAATCCAAGACATAGCGCAACACAAAGCACAGGCACGACAGTCTGGACAAGGAGCAGGCAAGCATGACGCTCCGCAAGCATCCCACTCCAACCCTCCTCCTCCTCCTCCTCCTCCTCCTCTTCTCCTCCTCTCCTCCTTTCTCCTCTTCCTCCTCCTCCTCCTCCTCCTCGTCCTCCTCCTCCTCCTCCTCCTCCTCCTCCTCCTCCTCCGCCTCCTGCTCCACCAGCCCGGGGGGGGCCCTCCCATCCTCTCCCTGCCCCCCTCCCCCCCGAGCGCTGGGGAGCCAGGGAGTGGCGGCGCTCCTCGACGCCGCCGAAGGCTACGAGGGCGGACTTGCCGTCCAGCTCCTCGACGGGGGTGGGCTGCGGGTGGGCTGCCGCGGGCTCGTGCCGTTCCGACCCTGGCGCCGGTTCCTGACACCGCGGGGATCGTTCCACGTTGAACAATCGGCCATTTCCGAGGCTCGACTACGCGTAGGAGTGACCCTGGGCTAGAGAGACCTTTGGTGCGCGGTTTCAGGGGCGCCCGTGGGGGCCCAACGCAATCGTGCAAGCCGGCGTTGCCGCGCCGCATCAACGATCGGCAGGGCGCCGCTCGACAGATTCTTGGCGCCAGCGGGCAACTGCGGAATTCCGCCGATTCAATCCGAGCGCCCCGAATGGCACTTCGAAGGCGCTGCGAAAGCAGAAGCTGCCGGGGGCCACCGCGATGAGGTCTGGCACTGCCGGGCTGCATCGCGACGACGTCTGACCAGGCCTGGCGTCGTGGGCAAAACCCGCCCCATCCGAAAGCCAGGAATATGTCTGAATATCTTCGGAGAGCTGATTAGAGTAAAAGTCCCCATGGGTTCGAAAACCTATTCAAATATGTTCAAAATGATTCAAACATGTCCAAAGATACCCAACCATTTCCAAAGATATTCAAGTCGGACGTTTTGGAATTTGGGTTGGGATTCGGGGCTGGTCCTGGGCCAGAAAACGCGCCGCCTGGTCGACCGGCCCCCTCTCGGGTAACCAGTTCAAGCTGTAGGGTGCGACGCGTATGCGCTGCTGTCGATTGCAAGGGGCGGGCCCAAACCTGGCGCGCTCAGATGCGAGCATAAACGCGCGATGCGGGTGCCGACGCGAGGCCGAACTCATTCCACAAGAAAATCACCCGACCCCCTTTGGGCCAGCACCAACGGTCACTCCGGCGAAGGGTCACTCTTACGTGTAGTCGAGAGGCGCCCCGGGGAAGACGCGGAAGATCGGCGCCTCGAGGGGGAGGCGGGTGTTGAAGGCACCCTGGCGACGGATGAGAAGGCTGTGGCAGGGATCGACCTAGACAGTGTTTTGTCAAGTTCGTCTTGGTTTCGCTTCTCCTCGCTGTGCCTCCAATCCGCCCTTTATCTTCCTGTGCTACAAAACGATGTCGAAACGAACACGGCCCACGGCAAAACATAAACATAAACATAAAATGTCGAGGCTCTTCATGGAATTATTTGATTTGCGCTCAGGTTTACTTACCAGACGTGCGGAGCGTGCCACGGACACCGTCGGAGGCGCTGTCAAGAGGGGTCCCCACCGCCGAACCCCAAAAATCCGCGCGGCCCTGCGATGGAGTATGTTTAGGAAGCTTCCTGTCCTCCTCCCCATCCTCCTCCTTCTCCTCCTGCTCCTCTTCCCCCTCCTCCTCCTCCTCCTCCTCCTCCTCCTCCTCCTCCTCCTCCTCCTCCTCCCTGCGGCACCGGCGACAAGCCGCTGGATGGGGACAGGGACGTAGTCAGATCGTAGACTACTTCATCTGGGGCATTCTTCCCCTTCACGGTCAACCGGCCTCGGCCACCCACTGCCCGTCACGCAGCCGCGCTTTGGCGCCCTCCTGCACTTCGCGGGCAAGCTTGCGACGGTCTGCACGATCTGAGCGGCTCTGTCTTCCCAGCCCCTCTTCTCTCCCTGCGTTCCGTCGTGCCCGATCGAGCTTCCAGCGCGTTCCGCCCATAGCCCGACCGTCGCCTGCGCCTGCTTCGGCTCGCTTGCGCACGCTGCCTTGAAACACCATCAAATCTGGGGAGCGCTGCGCTTGTCCAATCTATGATGGCGCGTGCGCAGGGGCTGCCCGCCGCGCTTCGGCGCAGCACGCTGGTCGACGGGCCATTCCAAGCAGAGACTGTAGACACATTGGCCTCTATTGGTGGTCGTCGTCGCTCCTGCTCCCTCCTCCTTCGGCGGTGGACAAACCTCCCTGTAGTACACCTCCATTTAGTGAAAACGGCCTAGGACCGGACCCGACGGACCTGGACCCGCAAAAAGAACGGCCGCGACGCCCTCTCGCGAACCGAAAACGGCCAGTTCACTAATCGAAGTGTCAGGGTAGGAAGTCTATCAACCTCCGACTCCTCTCTCCTCCCCCGGGCTCCGGCGACGCGCCAGCGCATGGGCCGCCGGCGGGTCCTGCTGGCGCGCTCGCCCACGCCGGCGCACTGACAAAAATCAGGGCGGAGATCGTTTGCCGCAACTGAGGCCTCCGCTGGCCCTCGCCGGGACCCCAGACCGTCAACGAAACAACTCGGGCGGAGAAATGGGCCCCGGGGAGGGGGTCGGTCGGGACTGCCAGGGACCCCGCACCGAGGAAATCGAAACGCCAGATCTATAGGACAGCGGAGGCGCGGCGACGGCGACAACGGCGAAGGCGGCGACGACGACGACGACGACGACGGCGGCGACGGCGGCGACGATCGACAAACGACGGCGACGTGGGGCCGGATGTTCGGGGCCCTTTCCTGGACCTCCGGAAGCTGGAGGCCTCTGGCAGCCTACGAGGAGGCACGTCCTTGCTGCCCTTCGCCCTCCGAGCAGGCAGGCCTCCCGAGCAGGCCTCGAGGCCCTCGTAGCGTGAGATCCCGCACGGAGCCCGCGAGGAGCCCGAGGAGGGCGGCCTCGGCCCCCGCCGCCGAGGCGCTCGCCCCGCGGGCGCTCGTGCTGCTGGGAATGCGTGGAGACGTGGCCGCAGCGGCAGCTGGCACCGCGCACAGACGCACACACACACACACACACAACACACACACAACACACACAACACACACACGCGCGCGCACACACACAAACAAACAAACACACTAACACTTTGATTCGCAGGTCGAGAGCACACCTCTTCCGGTCGAAGCTAACAAACACACACACACACAAACAAACAAACACACACACACACACAAGCGCGCGCACGCGCATGCGCCCGCGGGTGCGCACACACACGAGCGCTCACAGATCCGCGCGCACAGACACACAGACTCTCACGCTCTCACTCGGCAGCTGCGCGCATGGCGACACAGCGGCAGCAGGTCGTGCGGGGCCGAGCTGCGATGTGCGGATGGCGGCAAGGCAAGCCATATGGGAAATAAAGAGCCTGGAGAACGGCAGCGGGGCTGGACTCGCAAGGAACAGCGACATCAACCGCGAATGGAAGGACGGGACGGGAACGGAACGACACGGCGGAAGGGGGCGAATACGAGAACACGCACACACACAGACAGACAGACACACACACACACACACAAATGCGCGTGCGCTCGAATGTAAGCACAAACGCCCGTGTTGGCGTCGCGGCTACGCGCGCAGCAAGGCGAAGGAGTCAGGCTAGCGGGAGCGGCGACAGGGTGGCGAACACACACACACACACTCACACACACACATACAGAACACACGCACACACACACACACACACACACGCGCGCGTACATGCACGCGCGCACACAAGCGCAAGCGTACTAATACACACAGACACTTACGGTCGCACGCAGACGGGGCAGGAAGCCGCTCGAGCACTCGAAGTTGAGCAATGAAAACGCCAAAGACCAGGCCCGCTGGCTCACACATACACACACACACACACACACGATGCAGAATGTCACGCTCAACGCAGAACTTGACTGTGCCACTGCGGCGCGTCACTACCACACTTAGGAAGAGAAAGATGATTCTTCGTCGGTCCACGCCACCGCGCTATGTCCCCGAGCGCGCGCATCCTCCAACACACGCCCGGCCATAGTCAAAACCGACCGGCATCCGCACGATGCAGCCTGCATGCGGGATTCCGTGGCGCGCTCCCCAGGCGCCACTAAAAAAAAGCCCGTCCGCCCGCATGCGCCCCGAATGAGTCCAGCCCGCGCTGGACAAGCAGACACACCTTTGTGTTAGGTCGGGCATGTCCCCCTGCAGCCCGATTTTGGGAGGAAATCAAAGATAGGCCAAACGTGTTTTTTGTTTTTCTAACAAAAAAACAACAACAAAAAAGTATTCACAAAATCGTCCCCAGACAATTTTTCCCCCAATTTCGAATCTTCCCCTTGCAGAGGGGCACGACCGACGTGAGGTTACTGCGCCGAGCGCGCGCCCCGCGCGGGCCGCCCCGCTCTCCCCCGCTCTCACGCCGCGCGCGCCAGCTTGGCCGGCGGGCCCCCGGCAGCTGCCTCGCCCGCGGCCTTCGCCCTCGACTTCTCGGGCGTCTCGAGGCTGGCCTCCGCCGGCGCGCGCCCGCGCGCCCAGGCGCCCTCGATGCCGGCCCAGAAGTCAGGGGAACAGAAAGTGGCATAAGCATAAAACCTCGGAGGTCCGCGCGGATTTCTCGGATCGGCGCTGGGGCCCCCCGTCGGCGCCTCCGGCGCCGCCCCTGGCGCGCGGAGCGCGCCAGGGAGGGGGGTCCAGCGCCGATCCGAGAAATCCGAGCGGACCTCCGAGTTTTTGTGTGTATGCCACTTCCTGTTCCCCCAGAAGTGGTGCCGGCACTTGCCGACGTAGCTCTCGTTGCCGCCGACCTGCACCTGCTCCCCCTCGGCCAGGACCGTGCCGTCGTCGGCCACGCGCTGGTTCATGGTGGCCTTGCGCCCGCAGCCGCACACCGTCTTGATCTCCGACAGGACGTCTGCCCAGGCGAGGAGGTACCTGGAAGAGGACGCAACCACTGCATCAACATGCGCCTGCCAGGTCTGTGCGAATTCCTTGGGTTGTTGCCGGGACCCGCCCCCCTCCGGCGCGCCGGGCGCGCCAATGTCGTCGCCGCAGTCGCCGCCAGTGTATGAAGCGCCGATCCAGGAAATCTGCGTGGACCGGCGGCAATGCAGGAGGCGACGGGGTGCCCCCCACCGGGACATCGGCTTCGGTTTCGTGATCGTGTCGCGCGTGCGTGCGAGACGAAGCTGCGTGGGCGGTCGAAGGAATGACCCCCTCCTCTGGCTAGAGCGCCGCCAGGCCAAAATGGCGCCGCACCCCCTCCCTTGTTGGCCGGCGTGGTGTCCAGGTGGTGTCCCGGTGGTGTCCCGTGGTGTCCCGTGGTGTCCCGTGGTGTCCCGTGGGGCGGTGTTCCGTGGTGTCCCATGCGGTCGATGGTGAGATCGATAGTGAGATCGAAAGTGCGATCGGCAGTGAAATTGATCGGGAGATCGATAGTGAGATCGATAGTGAGGTCAATCGTGAGATCCAGTGTGAGAGCGATCGAGTGATATCGATTGTGAGATCGATCGAGTGAGATCGAACGTGAGATCGATCGAGTGAGATCAATTGTAAGATCGGTGATCAGATCGGTAGTGAGATAAGTAGAGTAAAATGGATTGTGGGATAGATGGAGAGATCGATAGTGAGATCGACAATAAGATCACTAGTAATATCGATAGTGCGATCGATCATGTGTGAGACAGATCGTGAGAACCATCGATCGTGAGATCGATAGTACGATCGATAGCGACATCGGAAGAGTGAGACGTTGCGTCCTCCCCCCCACTGAACCTCCTCATTACCCGAAGGGTGGTGGTAGTTCTACGATCGTGGTGTTGTCTATTTTCCTTCGGGGATCTTCTGACCCGGGTCGATCCAGACCCGGGTCAGCAGGAAACCAAAAACTGCAATGCAGGAAAACAAATGCAACGCAGGTCTTCGTAAACCCGGGTCAGCCAATATGTGCGGGCGCCTCGCGGCTACGAGCGGCTCGCTAACCCAGGTCAGCCAGAGGGGGTCTTCGCAGGATCATGCAGGATCTGGTGCCCTGGCTGACCCCCGTTTGCATTGACCCCCGTCTCAAGGCTCCCGATTCCTGCTCTCCCTCTGGCACCGGCTGCCCTCGAAGGGCTCCCCCTGGAAGTCCGTGCGCAGGCCGAAGCAGAGCACAGGGACCTGCCCCGGCAGCGGGGCACATCGGGCGCCCGGCCCCCGCCCCCCCCCCCCCCCCCCACGGCAGGGGTGCAGCCCGCCCGTGCCCGAAGGACGCAGGGGCAAGGCTGGAGGAGGAGGAGGAGGGAGGAGGAGGAGGAGGAGGAGGAGGGAGGAGGAGGAGGAGGAGGAGGAGGAGGAGGAGGAGGAGGAGGAGGAGGAGGAGGAGGAGGAGGAGGAGGAGGAGGAGGAGGAGGAGCCTTCGGAGGCCGCCCCGAGGCTCGCTTCGAGCGGTGCGCGGCCAACGGAAGCGGCCAAGGATGGACCGATGGGGGCGAGTACGCCGGGGGGCACCCCTGGGCGAGCTGCCCTAATCCTTCCCGTGCGGGTTGAGCGTAGGCCGGGAGGGCAGCACGGGCGGGGGGGGGGAGTGGAAGGGTGCAGCAGGGGCCGGGCCAGGGCCACGGGCCCTGCCCTGAGGCCTCCAGCGCGCTGAGAAACAAGTGCGAGGGCGTCTCGCCGTCTTCGGCCTCAGATGGGGGCCCTCGGCGGGCAGTGGGGGCCGTCAATGAGAAGACGACTCGGGGTGAAGAGACGGCCCTGGGGGAGAAGGGTCAGGACTTCTGGGGACACCGTGTGCGAAAAAACAGGACACCTGATATCTGGGGGGCCATACGGGCCAAGAGAGGAGGAGGAGGAGGAGGAGGAGGAGGAGGAGGAGGAGGAGGAGGAGGAGGAGGAGGAGGAGGAGGAGGAGGAGGAGGAGGAGGAGGAGGAGGATGGAGGAGGAGGAGGAGGAGGAGGAGGAGGAGGAGGAGGCGGGGGAGGAGGAGGAGGAGGAGGAGGAGGAGGAGAAGCAGCAGCAGCAGCAGCAGCAGCAGCAGCAGCAGGAGCAGGAGCAGGAGCAGGAGGGCGGCGTGGGAATAAGGCGCCTCTGCTTTCGCCCCCCCCCACCCCCGGCCTTGAGCTCGTCCGCCACCCGGCTCAGCTCCCGAACCTGCGCCTGCGTGAGGATTCGTTCTTGGCCCAAAGAATATGATCGGCTGCGCGCAAAAGTGGCCCCAGGTAAGAGTGACCGTTGATGCGCGGTTTCTTGGGGTCCTTGGGAGAGGGGGGCCAAACCTAATCGCGCAAGACGCTATTACCGCATCGCGTTCGGCGATCGGGAGACCCCAGTGGGCCCGCACCAGAGGCCACTCCGGCGAAAGGTCACTCGTACTGTGTAGTCGATGTGACGGCATGAGCCACAGTGCGACATGGCTGAACCCCGAGAGCTCCTTCCCTCTAGACTCGGGCAAATTTGATTGCATGACCTCCTCCCCTCTGCGCCGCCTTCTCAAACAGCGCTGGGCCGAGAAGGCGTGCAAGTGAGCCCCAGCGTGCGTTAAGTCCAGTCTTCCCTGCGGCCCCAGCCAAGCCCCCCCCCCCTAAAGAAACAAACGCCAAAAACGCGTCGACGGACCGTGCACGTGGCGGGATGCCCTACCGTTCTTTCTTACGCCGTAGAGTAGTCTTCGATCGCGTCTGTTTCTACAATCTACAAGTGATAGAATAGGACAAGACCTATACCTCGAAGATCAGGTTCCCAGAATTCGTTTTGTAAACGTTGAAAAGAGCTTCTTGTTCGAAGTTCTCGTTGCTGCCGGTTTTCCGGAGACTTCCAGCCGTGTCGCGCCGCGGAATTGTGGCGGCTCTAGGGCATAGATGCGGCAGCACATGAGTAAAGGTTGCTAAGTTTGGCGATCGAGGTCTCATCGGTAAACCTATGCGTAAACTGTCGAATTAAGTCACGGATCCTACAATCTGTATCTGCAAGACACCGACACATAACACATCTGTCTCTCATCAAGCATCGATCGGCTGTTCGTTCATGATCTGAGAATAGGCTATACTGCAGTTCAATGTAATCGATCTCTCGATACAAGACTACACGACTCTGCCCAGAGATAACGTGCCAGCGCCACGGGTGACAGGAGGAGAGGGATGCGCCTGCGTGAGGAACTGGGCCTCGTCCACCAGCACGCAGTCGCACCCGCCTCGGCTACACGCAAGAGTGACCCTGTAGGCAGAGCGATCCTTGATGGGCAACTTTCGGAGGGGGCGCGGGGAGGCCAAACCCAAGAGCGGCGGCCGCTGCTATCACAACGCGTTCAGCAGCCTGGAGGCCCCAGAGTGTCCGCACCAAAGGTCGCCCTGGTGAATGGTCACTCTTCCCCGACCCCCGATAGCGTGCCTTTTTTCACAGCGTCGACCCCCCGGAGGTCTCGACCCATTCCCTGAGACGTTTTCGTTGACGGTCCCGAGTCGTTCTTTTGACGGTCCCAGAATACGGCCAAGGCCCAGAGACCAAAGAATTGTAAGAGAAACGTCCGTCGTGACTTCGTTCACAGCGTGAAGGGGTCTGGGTTACTTCGGGGCCCCAGAACCGTGTGGTGACGCGCCGTGCGGTGACCTCGGACCCCCCAACGGCATCACCGCGCGGTCCGACTCCGCACGGGTTCCTAACCTCGGTGGGGGCCCCAGTCGCCCGAGACGTCCCCGGAGACCGACCCGAGTCCAAAAACCGCGCGGTGACCCCGAACCCCCACCGACTCACCACGTCGTGCGGCCAGCAACACGCAAGACGGATCGTGTGCGAGAGTGACCCTTGGTGGGCGGCAAGGCCAGACCCCGAGCGCACAGGAGGACGCGAACTGCCTGTCGCATCACGCTCGGCGATCGCGGGACCCCAACGGGCCCACACCAAAGGCCACCGCGGCGAGGGGTCACTCTTGCATGGGAACCCGCGTTTCGGCACTGAGCGGAAAAGGGGGGGGGGAGGGCGGGGTCTTGGCTCTGGACCCCTGCTTCATGCGACTGTTTGCAACAGTGCGTCCCCTGCAAGGAAAGGGGGGGGGGGCGTGGGCTCCGGACCTCTGCTCCGTGCAACCGTCTGCAGCAGTGCGTCCTATAGGAGTGGGGAGGCCCCACATGCTCGACTCAGGCGCCCCACAAACAGCAAAGATCTACGCCATGGGGATGGGGGGGGCGGGGAGAGGAGGAGAGGAGGAAAGGGGAGGAGGAGGAGGAGGAGGAGGAGGAGGAGGAGGAGGAGGAGGAGGAGAGGAGGAGGAGGAGGAGGAGGAGGAGGAGGAGGAGGAGGAAGGAGGAGGAGGAGGAGGAGGAGGAGGAGGGGGGGGGGGTCGTGCGAGGGGGCCCGCGCCGAGCGGCAAGACCACGAGCCAGGAAAAACGCTTGGGCACGGCGCCGTGCTGGGGCCCCCCCCGGGCTTTGCGCGCGGCCGGGCCGCCGGGGGCCGCCGCGCCCGCGCCCGGCGCGGGCTCCGCCCCCGCGCGGTGCGCGGCCACGTGGGCGTAGAAGTCGAAGTCGGGGGCGAAGGCGAGAGCGGCGGCGGAGAGCCCGAGGCGCGCGCGGCCCGAGCGGGAGCACCGAGGGCCCGAGCCGTCTTCAATGTCTCGAGCTGGGCGTTTTGTCGTCTTTTTTCGGGCCCCCGGGCCCTCGCAGGTCGATGCGGCTCGAAGAAAAAGGGCACAGGAAGATAGGGGTGTTGAGCCGGGCGTTTTCGTTTTTTCTCAGACCCCGGGGCCCTCGCAGGTCGGTGCGGCTCGAAAAAGGGCACAGGAAGATAGGGGTCCGGGGCCCCAGGCGTGATCTGTCACGAGGACCAAGGCCAGAGCTCTTCCCAAGCAGAATGCTGCGAAAACTCGGCAGCAACTCGACCCCCCGTCCCCGTCCCCAGGAAAGTCCCCCCCTCTCAGCGAGGCCGCGCGCCTCGCTGCTGCCACCTGCTGCTGAAACTGGAGTTTGCCGAGCTGCTGCTGCCCCCGCCGCGGTGCCACCCATCCGCCCAGGGTTAGGTCGGGCATGTCCTCCTACAGGCAGACTTCGGACGAAAAATACCCCCCCAAAGAAAAAGGATGAAGAATAATCAAAATAGACAAAACAGATTCGGAAACTCGCCCCCAGACCTTTATTTTAAACTATTCTGGAATATTCTCCCTGTAGAGGGACACGCCCGCCTTCAGCCCAGGGCGCCCCCGACTGCTCCGCGCCGGGGGCACGGGCCGCCAGCGACCCGCAGCAGCAGCTCGCCCGCGCGGGGCGGGGGCAGGGCGACGACAGGCTTCGGGTGAGGTCGGGCACCCGAAGTGTATCGGGGATGGGCCTGATCCGGTCTGGGCCCTGTTGGCGGCGCGCACAGGGGAGTAGGGGGGAGCGGGGAAGGCTTCTTGGAAGGAGGCGGCCTCTTAAGAAGGCGCGGGTCTTACATCTACAAACAAGGCCCGCCGCTTCGAAGAAGCAGGGGTGCTTCTGAGAAGCCTTCCCCCCTCACCCCTACCCCCCTCTGAGCGTGGCTGGCCTTATGTGGCGTCCGCAAATAGCCTGGGGTATTCGGGGGAGGGAAGGGGGGAGGGGCCGGCCGATGACGTGACCTTTTCCCCCTGGGTGGCCCCACGTGTGCCCGCGCGCGCGCGCCAACGATGAGTACCCCCCTTCGGACGTCCGCAACCGACAAGGGCAATTTAGCCCAGGGGGTGGCGGGGGGGGGGGGGCCAGCAACCAGGGCAGTCGCTGGACCCTAAGAAACAAACAGACTCGAGTGATTTGGGATAACTGGACCCGGTCCTGGTAGCGCCCTGTGGACACTGGAAAACCCTGGTCGCCTGATGCCGAATATTGGAGGCCTGGAGATGGGCACCAACACTAACACAGGGGGTTGCCTCCACAGGGGGAAGATGATCCTCGATTTCGGTGTTGGTGGCAATATTTCGGCCACCTTGGAAGCCAGAATATTACCACCATCACCGAGATCGGGATCTTCTTCCCTCGGTGCAGGCACACCGCCGATATTGGTGTTGGTGTCACCCTCTAGGCCTGCGCGAATAACTCATGTTTCAGGGAGAAGGCTGGACAGTGTTACATGGTGCACAAAGTGATCCGGGATAGCTCGACTTGAGCGCAAGTCGGCAACTTGGGCCGAAAAGGGGAGGCCGAATCAGCATCTATCCCTGACCACCCCCTGCCCTGATCCGCCGGCCCCCTTGTGAGGCCACCAGGCTGTCGGCCGAAGCTTCGAAGTTTCCTGTACAAGTTGCAGCTTCCAGTTTCCACTGTTACAGTTCTGCTTCTTGCTGCTGACTGTTCCTTGTTGATGGACCCCGCGAGGGGGGGAGGCCCAAACGGGCAGGTTTCGCACGCCCTGAGCGTGTGCTCTGAATTGCTGGGGTGGGTAAAAATTCACACCCCTCACGCAGATCGGCGGGGTCAAGGTCCAAAAACGAATGGGATGTACCACATTTCTGATATTCGGCGGCACCCCTCACGCAGATCGGCGGGGTCAGGGTGCAAAAACAAAACTGATTTGCCACATTTCTCATATTCGGTGGCACCCCTCGCGCAGATCGGCGGGGTCAGGGTGCAAAAAAAATCATTCGGTGACACCCCTCACGCAGATCGACGGGGTCAGGGTCCAAAA